AAATATATATGCTCTGGTTTGTAATGAGCCTACAGGGCTGACCTGGTGGCATGTTGCTGTCTGGCTCATGTAGTCTCAGGCACTATATGTTGGCTTATTTGTGGATCCCATTCCTCCTCCTTACAGCCACAAAGTGCCCAGTGTGTTCATGGTCTCTCCCATCCTCCTTCATTCCTCTTCTGCAGTACAGGTTATTATTCTATATATTTTCTCTTTGTGTAGTACACTTCCAAATGCGCTTTTCATGTCCGCTTGGCACATGTTTTGGTGGGGATATTCACGTCTAGCGCTGGGACATAGAGCTGTGAAAACAGAGGCCTCTTCCATCTCTCACAAATGCATTCCACAATAGTAGAGAAATTCAGACTAATAACAGTGAAGTGTGGGGGAACAGTTCTCATCCTTGAATAACCTTACTAGAAGTATTTGCTGTTAACCAGCAGGAGTTCCTGCTAGTTAGCCATGGCCCACAACTACCATGCTACTATCTTTCCCATCTGAAGTCACTGTAAAATAGAGGTATTAGAAACTTGAAAGGGTATATGATGTAATTTAACGTGGGGTGGGAGGGATCCTGTCCTTAGCAGTTGAATTTTGCCTTTTTCTTTATTTTCTGTAATCTTCCCCTTTCCTACCAAAAATGAACAAGATTTTCTTTAGAATCCTAACAATTATTGATTATTCATGCACAATTCCTAGTTTGCTCTGTTTTCTGTGGCTATCAGTGATCTATCTTGGCAGGATTTTTTTTGTTCTGGTCATCTCTGGTCTGTAACCAAATTTTTGTCCTCCTGTACAGCTGCTCTGAGTCATGCCAACAAACTGGATTAAAGCCACTGATTTTAAGACATGTTTATATTTCGGTCTTGGATACAATCATCTGAGCTGGAATACTAGATATGAATGGAAGCTTCATTCCAGAAAGTGCATTCCTTGAAGAAACAAAGTTATGATAGCATAGCTCTGCCTGCCTGTTAACTTAGTGTTGCCATCTGGTGGTAATTTCTCAACTGACTCTTTTTTTCCTCTTACTTTAATTTAGAAGAGTCTTTTTCCTAAACACTGATCTACGGGAATTGAAATGGCGAGAAGCTCTCAAATTGAGGAGGGAGAGCAGAGGCAGTACTCATGAGTTGTTTCATGTTAGCTTTGTAGCCAAGATAGTGTCTACTTTTTCAGCCAATGTATAGAAGCTATGCATGCCAAGTGGGGAACAGTTATCTTCTGTTTTCAGCTTTTTAGACTGAAGGACAAATACCAACGTGCCATTCATCTAGAAAATCCCAACAGACCTCTTCAGAGTTGCCCTTTATCCAGAACAAAATTGTTGGAAGTGTATCTTCAACTGAATGCCATCATTTGTCAGAAAGAATTGTTAACACAGAATTGAAGTTGCTGCTTTACGTGAGCAGCATCACCTTTTGAACACTTTGTGTTTTCTCTCTTTTTTTCTTTTTCTTTTTTTTTTTAAGGACCAGAGACATCCTTTTGTTTTGCAAGACAGTCTTTTGCATAAGTCCAGACTGGCTGCCAAAAGAGACAATCCTACCCTCCCTGTAGCAATGTTTTCCCAGCAATTTACCTATAATGGGACTGTTGCTTGTGTATTGCAATATCACACACACCCAGTGGTGCTAGCAAGAATAGCACAAACCTAAACTGGCTCAAGTCAGTTGTGAAATTGCTGTGTGTGAAGCGCTTGTACTGTTTGAGTTCAAAATCTTGCATTTGGGAATGTGGAGTGGAAGGCACCATGGTGCAGCTAACTTAATGTGACCTTGCACTTGTACTGCAACATCCATGGTGTGTGTCCGAGGTATTCTGTCCACTGTCTTCAGCGACTCGGGTGACTGCATACATGTATCAAAAAGTACATGGACTGGATGCCAGCTATGCAGCAATGCAGTGTAAAATAAAAAGTTGTAATACTGCATGTAATCCAGAAGAAAGTGGTGTGACACAAGAAATCCTTGACCAAAAGACCTCAAACTTCTGCAAATTCAGAGTGGTTTGAAAATCTGGTTTTAAACTGAAGTCATATTATCGGAAAAGTACATAAGAAGCTTGCAGGACTTCTTTCACAATAAATTCTGTGTTTGATTTCTCTTTGATTACTGATTTCTGTAAAATATAATTAACAAGTGGTTTTCAAACATCTTTTTTACAGCAACCAATATTTTAGCCGTGTTACTTACAGTTTTTGCTGTGTCTTGAAGGACTTCTTTGCTCCAAACTCTGTGCTGACGATCCTGGGAGTACTCAGTGACTAATAATCTGCTTTTTTTGTGTTCTTCACTCCTTCCTCCCAGGTTTGGAAATGATGTGCAGCACTTCAAGGTGCTTAGAGATGGGGCTGGCAAGTATTTCCTCTGGGTGGTGAAGTTCAATTCTTTGAACGAGCTGGTAGATTATCACAGATCCACATCTGTCTCAAGGAACCAGCAAATATTTCTCCGGGACATTGAACAGGTGCCACAGGTAAGAAAAGTGTCCTTGTAGAGTGCCCTTTTCAGACAATTGCAACCACAGTCTGAAGTGGGATTGCACCTTAAAGCAAATGATTCGGGATGGAGAGAAGCTGACTGACATTTTTCTCGTCTGTGGAAGTGTATCTCTAGATCCCACAGCCAGAATTATACTGGGGAAATAAGCTGGATGTTTGTGCAAAGCCTACCTGCTGACTCCCCACTCTCCTCTTCAGTTCTGGCAAAGTGTTATTGTTGCTGCTTGAACATTTGGCTTGTCTTAAAGTTTATGGATACTGTTGTGGGAAGGTCATCTGATTCATATGATTTAAAAATGGGTTTACTCCTGTTTTAGGATGTAGTAAGAAAAGATCGTTTTACTTGTACTGGTTCGTAGCCAGAACTGTACCCCTCTGCAGACTGTGAAGCCACTGGTCTTTCCTGAAGAGGTGGTTACAAGTAGTAGCATATGGAACATCTCTAGTCTGCTGGTTTGCATCTAACCAGTGTTAAGAGAAACCAAAATCTACTGCTAAGTGCCAGCAGAGCAGCTTGTGTGTATCTAGCTTTATTTTGTTCCATTTTCCAGCACAATCAGAATGTTATGTTGCATGTAACTGAATCTTTTGTCAATTTTGGACAAATTATTTTGCCTCTGTGTGCAGCATTCTAGCTTGAAGACAAGGAGTGTGGAAATCGTACTCTTCTCCAGGTGCCACAAGCACCCTTTGCCACCGTTTGTTTGAATTAACTTCTAGCTCTGCACCCTGGGGTCAGTGGTAAACAGGATGAGAAAACAGCTGGCTGAAAATGACAAGTGTGAAGATACCTTCCTAGCCTTATGATTTTAAGAATGCAAATGCATTTTAAATGAACTGTCAGCTTTTCCATGAGCATGGAAGTCTTTGCTGCCCAGGCAAAATGCTCTGTGGCAGAATTGAAGAATTTTGAGGAAAATGTGTAAAATGCCAACATCTAGTTTTTAGGGGGAACTTGGTGTATCACAGTGTTAGGTAGGTTAGTAATATATATGCTGTTGGTGAAAACAGGATGAATAAAGCAACAAGACCATTGTAATGCAATAGAACACAGATTTACAGTAGGTCATGAAGACTGGAAGATACTAGGAAAACATCTGAGTCATCTGCTGTCTTTGTTTCAGCTCTTTCACAGAAACTTGACTTTTTTCTAAGGTCTTCTATAGACTATGCTTTCCTGTTTTAGCATCTTGTTACAGATGTTGGAAGCTGGCTTGCAGGGAAATGAAACAGCCTGAATGTTTAGTGTTGAACTTCTGTGTAAGTTAAGCTCCTACCTGAGGGAGCAGGTGTCTCAGTGCTGTGGATGATTCTCACTTTGTGTATCTTCCTCTTTCTCCTTTCAGCAACCAACGTATGTTCAGGCCCTGTTTGACTTCGATCCCCAGGAGGAAGGAGAGCTGGGCTTCCGCCGCGGAGACTTTATCCAAGTCCTTGACAATTCTGACCCCAACTGGTGGAAGGGAGCCTGCCACGGACAGACGGGCATGTTTCCACGCAACTATGTGACCCCAGTGAACCGGAACATCTAGAGATAAATATTAGAGATTATTTAAAGAAACCAGAGAAACAGTAAATACACATACAGAGCCTAACTGCAGCCAGTGACCTAAAATCACACGGCGATAAAACCTGAGTCACCTTTCACCGTGAGGTGATCCTCCTTCACTCAGTACGGAACTTCAGGGGCGGGGGGGGAGGGGGGGAAGAGTTCAACTTACACACCAAAACTTATCTTTAAAAAAAAAAAAAGAGAGAGAGAGAAAGAAAAAATGAAAATAAATTTCCTCAGCTGCTCCTGGGTTACCCCCTTTCATTCACTCTTCTTGTTTCCCTGTCCTCCTCTGTCCATCAGTGCATGAAGTTTTAATGCCATATAAAGTCCTAGCCATGCAGTTAAAGGAAAAGGGAGAAACTCTGCTGGTATTTTCTCTCTCTGCAAACGGTCTTCATTTGACATGAAGGGACATGAGAGAAGAACCAAATCCACAGTCCTGCCTTTAAAAAAAAACAAAAATCATCAGTCTCTGCTTTTGCCTTCAACATTCAGCTCTTCTTGCCTGGGAAAGATGAGGTGTTAATCTAATTTTTATTGTCTCTTCTCCTTTGGCACTTTCTTCTGAAGCTCACCAGCTTCCAAGCAGGGGAAGGGAGAAGAGTTGTGTGGCTTTTTGTTTTGTTTTGGTTTTTTTTCAAGTCACAGAGCTGCTTTGAGAAGCTCTAGCGTACAACTGAAGTCTGTTAATGCTGTGCTGACAGCTTTTTTGTTTTTTCTTAAAGGTGTACGGTTGAGCACATTCTGTAATTTTTTCCATAGTGCCTTTCCCTTATTTTCTTTTTTATTATTTTTTTAAGTTAAAAGGACAGTCCAGAGCTTTTCAGAGGGGTTTTTTCTGCCTATGTGTAAATAAATACTTTTCGGGGAAGGGTGTAAAGGAGGGTGGTTTTATCAATGGACATTTGAGAAAAATCTACAAACAGAGATGGAGCTTTAATCTTAAGATTTGTCTTACTGTTCAACTTTCCTTATTCCAAGGAAAATAAGGCATTCAAGTGGCAGCTTAGGCTGCTCAGAGGTGGGGAGCTACAACCAGGAGCCTCAAAAGAAGTTCAAGAAAGGGGGAAGTTATTACCAGGGAAAATGAGAAGGAATATTTTGGGGTGGGAGGGTTTAGGGGGGAATTCGAGAAATAATAGTCCTGAGATGTCCTATAAAATGTACATTCCTGTGATGGATAACTTTATAATGCAGAGAAACCTCAAGAAATAGTGCTTGAAAAAACTTTATGCTATTAGTGAATGTTTCTACGTGATGCATGTAATCAGCCTGTCTCTTTGGCCTGGATAGGGAATATTTGCAGTCCTGTTGCTCTTGAGAAGTGGGGTTGGCATCACTGGCCTCCAGTTTCTCCTCCCTCTTCAGGTCGGCGTTACTGTTGAAGTAGATTCTCCCCCCCACCCCGCTCCCCATTCACAGCAGGCTGTGTGATGACTGTAATCCCCACCCCGCACCATGATGGCATTTATTGTGGCCATTTGCTCCTCCACCAGAGCAGTGTGACGTTAAATCGGACGGAAAGGAAAGCAATCAAGCCGCACCGCTCTCTGTGCCAATCTTCAGTTGCGTTATTTTTCCTTTTGATGGCCGTTTGGCTGGATCCCTTCACCCCACCAACGAATCCAAAAACTGCAGCGGAGATCTCCTCCCGCCCTGCCTAAGCACGGGCAATCTTTTGTTGGAGGGTGCCTTTTTTTGTACTAAGTGTTACAAATGTTTTATTCCTGAAATGGACTCTGCCTTACACTTTAATTTTCCAGCAGATGAAAGAGAGAGCTATCCTGTAGAGTATTACTTTCTCCCCCTCTCCTTGCTAGCTGTCACTCACTTTCTTCCTTCTTTGTAAAGTGATTGGAAAAGGAATCTATGGCATTCTACACCTGGACCATTTGATTGTTTCCTTATTTTGGAATTGGTGTATATCATGCAGCCTTGCAGACATATGTCTTGTGTGTGTATATATATTAAAAAAAAAAATCAGTGTTTAAATAAAAAAGGCCTATGTACTTAATCCTTTAACTCTGCAGCAGCATTTGGTAGATAGTAATTAACTGTGAATAATAAATATACGTTGAATTCTTCACTTGAGCATCTGTCCGTTATTTCAGTTAACTGACCAAAATTGGGGGTTGGGCCAGATGATGTCCAGAGGTCCCTTCCAACCCTGACCATTCTGTGATTCTGTGATAACTGATCAACCTAATTTATAGCACGTTAAGTTGCTATGGGAAGGAAAGGCTGTAAGGTGTCCTCTCGCCTGAAGCGCTCAGACTCTTTAGCGTTGTAGTTCAGTCTCAGTGTTTCTGGCTGAAGCCGGTGCTCTTTGACGTGAGGTCACCGGAGAGCCATGACGCTTGGCACGTGTGGCATTACGGATAGCGAGGAGCAGGGAAAGGAAGGATTGTGTCACTTCCAGGGTTGAAGACCGAGTCAACTTCACTATTTCTCCCCTTGCTTTTTTCGAAGCTTGTCACCAAAATGCTCAAGTGTGCCTGTGGTACGGACCGTAGCATCGTGAGGAGCTGCTCCCGGAGAAGGACAGCGCAGTTGTTTCGGAGGGCCTTGATGGAGGACGGAGGGGTAGGACACGCAGCAGACGTGGCCTGGGCTGGTGCTCTGCTCGGTCGCTGCTTTGCAGATTGGTTTTCACTTTTCTTACCTGAAGAAGTGGAAGTGCCTGGTTGTGCTAAGGTGTGCGGCCAGCTCTGGGCTGCCCGTGGGGAGCTGCCGCTCCGTTGGCTCCACAGCTCCTGCCCAGCCATCGTGTGCGCTCAGGGAGCGCCTGGGAATTTGGTAATTGATTTTTAATATACGATAGGAAAAGGCCCACGTGAGGGTTTGGGTTGTTCTTTCACAGTTGCTTTTAGTTATTATGCTCAAATGCAGATGTCGTCAAGAAGCCTGTGGTTGCTCAGAAATGCCGGGATGTTCCCGTGGTTCGTTGTTTTTCATTGTGCCGGTGAAGGCAGTGGAGAAACGATTTGCAGTGTGGTTCGGAGCTCTTGGCTTTTGTCATGCCACAACAGAACACGTTGCTCAAAACGCTGTGCTATTCATACCCTGGGTATCTGCTGAAAAGTATAGAAAAACCTTTGCCTCGTGCTTTACGGAGGGCAGGAAAACGCCTGTTGTTGCTGTGGTTGTGCCGAGGCGGGAGAGCTGTGAGCAGCTCCCGTCTTCCTGGCTGTTCGCCTTTCCCGCTTGCAGCTTTGGCCTCTGGGGCAGCAATGGTGGTGATGAGCTGGCGGGGGTGGGAAGCAAAGCCTAAATCGCGGTGTATTTCCCTGCCAGGCCCCTCCGCGCCCCCGCCATTTCGGCCACCGGACTACATTTCCCAGCGGCCCCCGCGGCGCGCAGGCGCAGTGCGGCGCGGAGGTGCCGGCGGCGGTGGCGGGTGAGGCCGCCCGGCGGGGCC